GGAGTCCAGTTTACATAGACAGCCTGTAGTAACAAGCAGATTTCAGAAAACCATTTAATTAATTGAGTCCTCAGTGTGAAAATCATTTTTATTCTCTCCAATTAATCAAATCTCCTCAGTGTAAGTTAAAGCCTTCCGCATCAAAACCACTCTTTCAGCTTTAACTGAGGAAATATTGGAAATCCTCACAAGGACTCCAAAAGGGGCATGATCTTATAAACCTTCTGTTTACAAGTCATAAATCAAGTGGCAGTGTTTGCTATAGATGGTAACTTTCCCATTTCAGCGCAAAGGGCATTAAAACATATCTTTGTCAAAACAAACACATTATGCTTTCTTACTTTGTAATGCTTTTTATTTTAAAATAAAATAGAAATTAAAAAAGGAAATACATTTTGTCTGTGGAAAGTTTTGTGACAAACGCTTCAAAATCAATGTGTCCAGCACAACCGTAAGGGTGTGATCATTAGATTGCTACTCAATGCCCTGCAGTGTCTAGACATCAAGGTTAAGGTTATTATAATTCAATATGGGTAAGCCTGGAATAGGGCCCTGCCAGTAGAAAAACAACAGGTTATGTAGCTTTAATCAGGTAAATGAAACTGTGGGATTTCGATTTTTTTTTTTCTTAAATCTAAGCATACCCACAGTATGCACATCAATGAAATGCTCACTTCTGTAAATCTTTTTATGATGATTACATTCTCAAAACAATTTACACAGTTTACACAGTGTTAGTGTAGCATGATGGGAGGACTATGGAAAATGGTTTAGTGCAAGCAAATCAGTATGCAGATTTAAAATAATATATGTGAATCTCGAAAACAAAGATAAAAGGTATCTCATGTGTTTCTTCTCAGAGGAACTGTTCCCTCTTCAGTGGGTGTAAAATGTGGTTCAGAAAAAGAAAAAGAGTCTTTTTTTCCATTCCTGAAATACTGTATATACCAAGGCACTTTTTCCTTGGAAGAATAAAATATTAAACCTGGATGTTCTTAACTGACTCCTGTATTAGGTTAAATTCCTTACTGTCAATAGTAAATATAATATAAGGTTTTGCAATTATAATATAAAATCAATTTGATCATTTTAGTACTTTCTAAAATTAGACTTCGCATCTTTCAATGTAAGGACAAATGATGAAAATTGTAAATAAACATAAAAAAATAATCCAATTGTGTTTTGCATGTTTCTTATGTAGTGACTTGCTCATGTGAATACTTTTAATTACAGCCAGTTGCTACATTTTATTGAACTCACCAAAGAATTAATTATCTTGGTTTGCCCCTGTTGCCTCATAAACTGCCTGAAACACATACAATTCTGTAGCATGCACCTCACCTGGACCTTTTTCTTCCAACTTGTATTGCAAAGTAAAAATGTTTCAAATTCTCTGCAGAGCAAGAATCTTCAGAAAATATTTCTGTCACGAGAGAAATACCCAAAGATATCTCATTTCAATACTGCTAAAGGAGATATTTACTGTATATCAGCCATTATCAATTAAGGTACAAAAAAACACAATTGTCTTATCTGATTTTTGAGCTAATTAAATGGTTAACAGCCAGCTGAATTATACTGGGCAGGGATATAGGCCAGGTACCAGTTAATATTTACCATCAACTACTGTAATGTTCACTGCCATATACAGTATTTAACATTCAATGTTTGCCGAGCTTTTTGTAGCTCCCTCTGATCCAGTATACTGGTGTAGAAGAAATTCCATGGGGAGCTGGGTGTGAGGTATGACAAGTAGAGCCTTCTTTCAGTTTGAAAAGTTGATGCAGAGGCAGTGAGAAGAGCTCAGCTTATCCAAGGACAAAAGGAGCGCCAGCAGATTGTCTATTAAATATTGATATGCATATCTTCTATTAATGAAACATCCCCTTCAAGAGGGAAAGAAGTGGCGTTTGGTAAGCATCCCCTGTCTGACAAGCAGGCTCTTACAGAAGGTCAGGTCACATCATTGCGTTTTTGCTGCTTTCCTTGCAGTTTTAATGCACATGCTCTTAAAAGCTCACAGAGACAGGCAGGGGTTTCAATTAGCTGGATCCATCTAAAAAAAAAATTGAAATCATTCTCTTTGGTTTTCCACTTCCTTGCCCCAGAATGAACTTCGGCATTACATGGTGAATTGGTATTCGGAACATGAGTGCTCGAACTACAGGACCAACTTTAAGTATTTGAAAAGCCGTGAAGCAAACTGCCCTTTCTACCTTGCCATCGAAATGCTACAAAAATGACCCATCCATCCCGTTTTTTGTATTATCCAGATGTTATTGAACGGTGTACCGAAATGTTACAGCACAAAATGTGTTTGAAGGAAGTGAGACAAACAGAAAGTGAGAAATGTTTCAGTGAACTGCTTGTTACACAGCTTGTTAGTGATGTTATTAAGCTGATATCCAGTAATTTCCGAATGCAGCAGCTGTGTTTGGTCAAGCCTTGGTAAACAGAAACCTTGACTAACCTTTTATTGCGCATTATATGGCACCCTGTGAACATCTTCATTGCTTTTGGAATATATGCTGAATGTGTTTTATAGAGGGAAGAGAATTTTACACTTACTAGTTATGTTCTTTTTCTAGTTCAATAGCTCTCCCAAAACTAAGGATGGATCATTTACAACATAAATGTCAAGACCCTGCAGGGGATTTTTCTGGTCACAGACTAAATGCATCTTTCTAGAAATGCATCTATATTAGCAGAGAGAATACAGCTATAGGTCAGGGATAGAAAATGACTTACATTAAAAAGCCTTAACCTACCTGCCTAGGAACGCAGCTAACCTGACACTTAGCCATCAGGAAAGGGTGCATAGATGTAGTATTGTGACAGAACTTTTTTTCTTCTTGATCATTCTGTGCAATACATTCCCACAGAATGTTGTGGGAAATGGGATCTTTGAGCATATACGTCAGGGTAGTGAGCTATGACTGGAAGAGGAACGCAGACTTTTTATATATCAACTGAGCCATTAAACTGCTGTAGGCTAATTTTTACAATCACCTGCTGTCTCCAGTTTGCCATCAGTACATTACAGGAAACCAGAGCAAGACAAAGTTACTGAGATCCTGTGCAGCAGCAGTGTTTTATCCTCATAGTCTATTTCATTATCCTGTCTGGGAAAACCACAATATAATTTGATATTATGATACAGTTTTCGTGATGTTATTATATATCATAATGGAGGTGATAATGCAGACTGTGAATACAGCAGAGTGTTTCCTGGGTTTTGTATTTTAATTTACATTATAACATTTCCAAAATCCTTATTTTCAAATATTGTAAATATTGCAACTTTGTCATTTAGTTCTTAAAATAAATTGCACATTATATAACTTGCATGATTTGTGTGAGATCACAAAATTTCAGTGAAGTCGATTATACTGTATATAGGAGAGTGGGGCAGAATAAAGGTTTGCTTGAAGAAACCAAAAACATGAATGGACTTTCTTATTAGATGATGTGTAAGGCAAGGTAATCACCTTACTATAGTGTGCCAATTGTAACCTGGTCTGCAGATAAAGTAATAGAAAATAGGAGCCTTTTTTGATAGATGTCTCATTGTGCACCATGCACATTAAGTGGGGTACAGTGACATATTCTATTTCTGGTGCTTGAAAGCTCACAAATAAAAGGGCCAAATGTGACTTATGAAATGTTTAAATAGGAATACTTTTTCCCACATTATTATTTTGGCTTTTAAACAGTCCTGGTTAATAGATTATCTACTTGTTACACAAGCCTAAAATCCCACATTAATAAGAGGTGTATGCACTTCTTATTATTTAAAAGATATAAAAATCAAAACAGTAATTTCAATGAATGCATCAACCTCATCAAACACAGTAAGTGACAGATCTGTGCTTTGTGTGTGGAATGTAAGCAAAATGCTTTTGCTTTTTTTGAATAACATACAAATGTCAATTAATGACTGCCAATTGAACTGTATTTTACAACCTGGGCCCAAGTGTATATTTCTAATAAGATCTGAGATACAGTATGACACCCCTTCACACTGTAACCCACTGACCTGTATTCATTATGGCAAGTCTGTGCAGGGAATCTGAACAGGGAACTCTTTAATTCGTGGGGGAAACAAACGTACTGGGCTTTGCAAGAAACTACAAGCATATTTCAGGTAAATATGACTGACCTCCCCTGGAATAGCATTGGAATAGCACAATGAAAAACTACATCAATTACAAACAATGCCCTAATAAGCCATGTTTCTGACCTAACTGCTTGCAGCAGATCCAAAACAGATAATGTGAAAGGTCATATAATTTCAATTTGCACACACAATGTCAATCCCTGTAACATATGTTCAAAGAGAATCGTGTTGTTTTTCTAATTTTGGACATCTGATATTTAGAATGTAGAATAACTGCTGATTTCAGCATAATAAAGAAATAGTGGTTTCCTCTTTTAGATTTTCTTATTAATATACTGCTAGCAATATGCCACGTACATTGTTAATTGATTGGCTCCTACTACGTAATGTAAGATCGCCCTCTGGTGGTGTTGTGATGGAATTGAATTGATACCACGAAGTATACATAATTTCCTAAGTGTACTGCTCTACTTTATGTTTCTTGAAAAATACTTCTCATGAAAACAAAAGAAACTAATGAATTAGATTAGTTTAAGTAAAAAAAAAACTACCAAAGTGTATTGTTTTGGGATTATTATATAAAGGATAGGTTGAAAATGACACCATTCTTTGCTTTAGTAAAATAACATGTTTTATTTTGGAGCATACATTGTACCACACTATATTGTTAACCAAGTATCATCACATCTGTTTACCTCTATGTAGAGTTTGGTGTTAAACACAAATAGGAGGCAGGTGATTAAATACCTTCCAGATAAAATGGACAAAAAGTAGAAGAAAATATGTTTTATACCTTTCCATTTGGACCAAAGAAACAGGGCATGGTATTGAAGTATAATACTGAAATAACATTCTGTACACAAGCACCAACAAATACCAAGTATGCTTGACAGAAATATTTAATGGGTTACATTTCTGGTCTCCATTATTAAAATAAGAAGGTGGATATTTTGCTCCTACTCAGATAAAGCAAATCAATTAAAAATATCCCTGTCACTGTGAATATTCATACATTTGTTCAAGTTACACAATTAGAGATGTATATATGAAACCTGGGAGCCTATTTGTCAAAATGTTTGAAGCTGTATGAGCTATACTGTCTTACAAAATCAGATCAAAAGTAGCCAAAGTCAATTACAGCTACTACTGTATGTCATTCCTTTTGTCTGTGTGCACAGAGGTAACACCAGTTCACTCGAGTTTAGCTGTAGAGTGAGGCAAAGTTGTTAATGGAGAGTGATGACAATTTTAAAATGATTTTGACTGGCTGTAGGACAAGGCCTAGTTCTTCGAATTTTAAATGCATTTTATGCAGAAGCAAACCTTTACTTGGGGAATGTTTAACAAGAAAGTTTAGTATTATCAGCTAGCATTTAGCTACCAGACACATACATTTATGTCAAGCTCATTTCACCAAAAACTTTCAGACAAAGCAAGAAATATTTGCTTTAAATAATCACTTGAAATACTTGGAAAGTTCAATGTAAGAACATTGTAATGTGGGAACAACATACAAATATATACACATTGAGCCCATTTATTTTTTTTTTAAGATGAAGGCATAAGAAAAAAGGAGAAATGATTGTTCCCAATTTGCTTTTCTTTAGAGGAACTGTAATAAACATTCTAAAGTTTGTGATAATTTGTTCTATTGTTTGTATCAAATCCACAGGATTTCCTTTAATTAGTTTAAATACAGTAAGTCTTCAATGGTAATAATTTTTAAGGATAAATCTTTTTACTTTTATTCTGTAAGTAGGTATATCTTCACAGTTTGTTCTGAAAGCCACATGTAATTGTTCATAGATTTTCTTCAATACACATTGAAAAGGCAGATTTGTCTTCCTGTTCTTAGGTATTGGTGCAGTGTCTGGTTGGTACAGAGAGAAACGGAAAGGTCAGACAAGCCTAGTGGTGATTCAGAAAAGCTGAACAAGTATCATGTGAATTAGACTTGGTCCGTGACCTTTCGAACAATCAGAGTTACCATTCCCTGTTAGCTCTTCTAATTCAGAGATTTTCTTAAGCCATGAGAGCTCTTGTGCTATAAAACACAGATAATGTCATTCATGAAAGACATATCAGTTGCTTTCTCTTGAGCCCAGTAAGACCTCAATGCAAGAGAAAAACAAGTTGAAGCCTGCCAACGACTGACAAGAAAGGGACAAGATGTTAGACTTCTTTTAAAAAATTAGTTTCACAGATGATTTAAAATATAAATAAAATATAAAAATATATAATATAAAAAATATAAACAAAGTAAATCTTGTAAGTATAAATCGTGTAAGGAAAGGATATCTTTTTTTTTAAGTCTGTACTGCTGGAAACAGTTTTTATTTCAGCAAATACTCCACATTTTAGTGGAACAAATAACTGATAACATTTGCAGGCTCAATGTATAGTATATCATCTAATTTTATTACACACAACACAAAGCATTGCCCATTTATTCTTAGCACTATTTAAACCATAAACATCTTTCTTTTTATTTCTAAATCAAAGTTTTAGCTCAGGGCTGACCAATCCTGGTGCTGAAGGGTAGGTAGGACTGTAGATTTTCCAGGTGTATTTAAAGCACCAACACCTGAAGAGATTGAAGAAGCTGACAAATGAGTCCAATTAAGACAATAACAAGCTGATTAAGGTCGTTCAAAGCCCAGCTGGACTGAAAACCTATAAACACACCAGCCCTCTAGGACCAGGATGGGGAGCCCTGCTTTAACCTTTACATTTCATAATTTAGAAATAAAAGCTGGGCAGACCATCAACTCTCTTGATACTATGTAACTTAAAATTTTAAACCAAGACCAGCCGTTCAATGCTTTCACCAAGCTGGTGTACAAGAGTTCAGAGCAAAAAGGTTTATTCTATGATAAGCTTTTAAGCCTGGTGCTTTCATTGTGTTTATTGTATTCACAAGACTTGTGTCACCTTTATGTATTACAAACACTTGAGCATTCTTATCTTTTATTTATAGGCATTTCAGGTCTTTTCATAGAAACTGAACAACCTCCACTCTGTCTCTATGTTTCTTCCTGACCTTTTCCTCCTGTCTTGAAATGGTATTATGAACACCCATGCCATACACAACACTACCTATATTAGCTCAAGATCATGTGGGCCATTGCTATGGCTTTATGCAGACTATTTCTTCTGAGCTGTCAGACCTGTATTCATTCCATATCCATGCTGAAAGGCAGACGGAGAGACAGACAAAGACAGGCAGTAGTCATCAGGTCAGAGTGAAATCGTCCCCAAAACACAAATGTTTGTATTCAAAGTCAAAAAAGCAATTCTCTCAGCAAATCGTCTAATAAATTTCCAGTCATGACCCATCCTGCTTCCAAAAACATTTACGAGACGACAAGGCTTTGGTGCGAATTGAGTGTCGGTTCAAACACCTGCTCTCTTTTTTTTCCCCCGCTGAAGTAGGGATTATAACACATGGCAATCTGGTCACACAGTAATCCAAATACTGCAATTAATAGCTAAGTAATGTAACCACATTTTTCTTTGGTTAAAGAAAAAAAACAAAATCCCTGTCTCTTAGAACTTAAAAATCTACCCTGCCTTTCAAGCTTTTCCTAGTGTGATGTATTCCTACAGTATGTATTCTTAGGCATATTTTTAATTTATCCTTAAATCTGATTAGGTAGTCGTTAAAAATGAAAAGTGCACTTAATGTGGTTTGAAATGCCACAGGAGATGAAAACTGGTAGGTTTAAGTGCACTCAAGTTTGTCGTCAGCTTTCCAGTAGCTCAGATAAGTACCCACGGGAAACCCTCACTTTCAACTCACATGGGCATTGGGAAGCACTGTCCCTTTAGAAATCAATACAACATTGTTTCCCCCTGAGTACGTTCACTTTTCTCTTGCAAAATTTGCTTCCTTAAGCTTTATTTTGCTATGACTAAAGCTTGCCATTTTTTCAATAATAGTGCAGCATGGGAGGCGAAAGCAGTGTGTGACAGGATCAAACCAGGATCACCAGCACTGCAGGCAGGCTTGTTACTGCGTTTCTAAGAGGTCTGGCCCGCCTGGCAAGGAGATAATAAGCTGCTACATGACTCTTACCTCTCTGGAACTATACCAGGGATGTGCATGCTGCTCTGTTCCCTGCTGAACTGCAGCATACCTCCTTATTGGCATGGGCTTCCTCCTGCCATTGATGTCCTGTTTAAAAGAAGGTTTTCTGGGAATTGAACTTGTATCGCTGGTGTCATGGGCAAATCTGTTGCTGTGATTCCCAAAGGTCAGGATTACCCGGCATCTTGTTTTTGCTTTTCAAGACTTTTACCAAGTGAGGTTAATGATAAAATCAGAATAACTTAAAAGTCACTGAGAAACATTTCATTTTCTGGTAGAGGCATAGTTGTTAAGCTCAACTTAAATATTCAATCCATCCATATTTTGTTATTCAGTCAGCTTTCATACCTCAACAAATTAAATGTATACTGGACCCTTCTATTATTTCATAGCCAGGCTAAATGAGTAAAAATGTTTGCCTATGTACAAAAAAAGAAAAATACCTACCTACCTGCTAATATGTTATATAAATATATTTAGGTTATAAGAGTGTGGAACAAGCTACCCACTCATGAGGTTGAAGCTGACACCTTAGCTCCATTCAAGAAATGGATGGATAAGATCCCTGAATCAATGAACCCTAATTCCCAGATGGGATAGATCTTCTTGTGTGTAGCCTTTTTTAAAGTTCTTATTAATTAAACCTAGTTCTGGACAAAATCAACATTCTTTCCACCAGGGATCTTCATCAATCAGTATGTTCAGTCTGTGTGTCAAATGAATTCAGCCTACAATGTTATATATATATATTCAACTGAAATAATTATTGCAGAGACACATAATGGTTTAGAAATTGCTTTTTAAGGCTGTCATGGTGCTCACAAATATTGCACATTCTCAACTACAGTTTTTTTTTTTTCCATTGCTTTGAATGTGCAGACAATTAGACATGTTTATCTCTGTCTGGGGAAGATTGTTTGCAGCTGAAATGTTTCCACTCAACAAGGCTGTAATTCTATGAGCAATAAAAAATATTTTGTTGGTACACTTTTAAATTACTTTTCACCTTTGAATAAGGAATGCTTTTGGGACACAGAAACATAAAACCTGTCGTTTGCAAATAGATCAGCGTGGCACGGAGTGTTTGGAATACAGAGCAGTACAAAAAAGGAGGTTAAAGGATATTAAAACAAATTTCAGATTCAGACACGAAAAATAATATGTGACTCAAAACTAATATGACATGGATGGATAGATGGATGTTTGTTTATTATGCCTTCCAGCTAGTTGGGGCCAATAAAATGACATACATATTAATATTTGTTTTACAGACGTCTAAAACGTAGCCATGATTTGTGTGAGAAAATAGTCAACACCTTTTTGTTTACCACTGTCTTCACAGGCCCTTGAATCACACTGCGTTTAATTATATTATTAAACAGAAGAAAAGAGTAGTTTAGGTTTCAGCACTTAACAGAAACTATCCCTGTACTCTTCTACCGTGGGAGTGTTTAAAGCACATGTACTGCCTACCAGAGTCACTAAACTAGCATATACCAAGCTAATGCTTATTAGCTTATACGCTAATACACGGATCTTAAACAAACAAATACATAGTTCATAATATTCAGCTCATAATATCCGTATGTAAAGTAAAATAATTAATTTTCTGTGGATTGCATACACAGTAATGCTTAAAATTGAACCTACCTCGCAATCGACTAATCATGTCTATGTGACCACGTGGTGCGGAAGTACTTCATAGACGCAGACTCACGTTGTGGAGTGGAGTGGAGTTTAAATTTCAATGCAGAAAGCATAACGAGAAGCACATCAGAATGGAATGTAAGTCTGGCTAATTTTGTAAAGAAAAACACGTTTAAACCATGATCACTAGGTGTAAAAGCTATTTCTGTAATCACACACTGTTTCTAGCTTCATCGAAAAAAATAGTTTTCTTCTCGTCACTCACTTTTTCAAGCTTCAATAAAGTATTCGAGTTTTGCAAACAAAAATTGGATATTAATAAATGTGCTTTAGTTTACATGTACAAACGGTTGAAAGCCTATTTGTTTTCAAACTTGATAAAATGTCAAGGTACGGTTTACAAATTTGTGACGATCAAGAGTTGAAACAGTCATATCAAACCCTTCCGTGCTTTTCATTTGTCCAGCTCGTATTTCTATGCAAATATTAAACGGGTTCTGAAGGTGTGCAAAGATATTCAAGTTATTCTTCAATTTGTTTATTGTTTTTGTATTATTTTGTATTATTTTTGTAGGTAGTGTTCAGTCTGCTCTACCAGCTAAACAGGCTGCAATTCTGGGCATCCAGGTAAATTTATTATTTTCAGACGTGCTGTCCTTTGCTGCCCTCTGCAGTTTTTGTGTACCAAAAAGTGGAGACTTTACACTTTTAAGCTGTTTTGCAACAGGGTGGGGTTTGTGCTTTTAGAAATTGAAAATCTGATCTTTTGAGTGTTTTGATCTGTTCTCCAGAACATTGGCAGATTCAAGATTAAACGTTTTCTCTCATTTCCATTCTGCTTTACATATGAATTCCACTTGTGAGTTACTACTACAAATCTCTGAATTAATTTAGATTAAAGGAAGGCATCGCTTCCAATAGGGAGGAAGCGCTGAAGTGATTTGTCTCGTTCACTGCAGCAATAAAAACATTTTCTGCTTGTCTTCATAACAGTCCCAAGATGCCAATCAAGCAGAAGCTTTCACAAACGCATTTCTGAAGAGGAGCATGCCAAGGCTCAAAGAAGAGGAAATCCAGCAGTTTTTGGTTCGCAAGGCAGTGGTACTTGAGCATGCCTTCAAGAGAGTTCAGAAGAAAAAGAGGAAGAAAGCAAAAGGCCTAAATGCCAAGCAGAGGAGGGAAATGAAAGTATTTGAGCTGAAACCCGAGCAGCAGAAGTCAGTGCAATTACAGTTTATTATTTTTATTCAGTAATGTGTGAAATGGTAGAGTGAAACTCTTCATTTTGTTTTTTAATTTGAATGCAGAACACTTTGCTTTAATGAAATGGGAAAAGGGGGCATATCTTCCATCTGTTTGTATTAACTTTTATTAATCCTATTTAGAGAGGTGGGGAGCTGTGTCAGTATGCGAGCCGCAAAGGAGGAAGTAGAGGTTAATTGTACACTGACATGTATACAGAGTAAAACAGATACAGGGTTTTAGTATGAACACCTAAAGAAAGCTCCACAGCCTTCCTTCATATTTTAGTGTGGAATTAACATCTTTTTGTTTGGTACAATTTATAAGGTATGATAGAAGTGCAGTAAATGGATTAAATGTGAATTACAATTAATTTTTGGAGTAAGGCTATAGAACAGGTCACCTGTTGACTCTAGAGATGGAAGGATGTCTTTTATTAAAGTTGTTTTGCCAGGTATGAACTCTTCTTGCCACTACATGAATTGTGGAAGCAGTACATGCGTGATCTTTGTAATGGACTCAGACCAGAAAGGTATGACTGCATGCTTAATTTAAAAAAGCTGTCAAAACAATAAACCATAATGCAATCAACAGCTGTCCTATGTTTGTTAAGGGTGGAAGTAAGCAGATTTTGGCATTAGCTCACTAGCAAAACAATAATACAACTTCTTAATTTGACAATGTTAACACATAGACAGGTACAACAGGTTTAAGCTTTCATTATCAGAGAGTCACCTTCTCTAAACTCCTTCAAATCCAGACTCAAAACTTTCTTTAGAGGAGCCTTTACTTAACTGGTTCCATTCTTTACTCCTCTGCTTTTCTTAGTACCAACATCCACGGTCTCCTCTGTATATTGTAATTGTGTTTTATCTTGTGTATTCTTTTTATTTATTGTTGTTGTCATTCTGTAAAGTGTTATTATTGTATGATTGATACATTACGTTTTCTAATATTTATATTTTTAATATTTCCCTGGGTCATGTTAAACTGTAAATCATTGACAAGAAGGAGAAATCTGTTAGGATTTGATAACTAGTACCACAGTGAGCACTTCAGGGAACTCTTTATTTGCTTCTTCAGGATGATTCCTGAAGATCATTATGGAAAATATATTCAGTTTTCCTAGTATGATAATTCTTTCTCATCATTTATTTATAATTTATATCAAGATGTCACAAATTGTGGCTTAAAACACTAGTATTTTAAGACCATAACTGATACAAGGCAGGTTCTTCTATTTCACCCTATTAGTTCCTTTAAAACGTTTTACCATTCAGAATGGATAAAGCAAATGCACTGTATAAATGAAATTCTGTCTTGCAGTTAAATCAGGTTTTTCTACCACTTTTAATTTAATCTTAGCAACCCTCAGATGATCCAGAATAAGCTATTGAAGGCAGATTTCCATGGTGCTATTATAACAGGTAATTGTATTGTTCTTTTTCTTTAATCTGACATAAAGATACATAGAATTGTTTAAGCAAAATAAGTACTGTACATTCTAGTTTTAATTTTTCTCATCAAAGCTTCCAATTAAAACAATAGCCTTAATAATCTTTTTTGGAAGTTGTGAATCAATATCTTCTTTTTTTTCCAGTAGTCAAATCTAAGTGTCCTTCTTATGTGGGCACTACAGGAATTCTTTTACAAGAGATGAAGCATGTGTTCAAAATTATCACAGAAGAGGACAGGCTGAAAGGTGTGCATCAATTATCCATCAGTCTAAATAATGTATGTTTTAATGCTTTGTTCAGAATTTATGTTGTAAAGTAATTTCTGTTTTTGTCTTTTTTTTTCCTCCCTACAGTTATCCCAAAGCGCAACAGTGTCTTTAGTGTGGAAATTGATGGATTCATTTCCTATATCTATGGCAGCAAGTTTCAGCTCAGATCAAGCGAGCGCTCAGCTAAGAAATTTAAAGTGAAAGGAACCATAGACCTTTAATTGAGAGCCAATGTAGCTGAAGCAGCCTCTTAGGAAATGTCACCAGTTGCTCCACTGAGACTAATGGAAAGAGATTTGCAGCTGCCAGGCAAGATATGAAAGAAATTCAGCTTCTCGGAAAAGGCTATTGATTAGCTTGTCTCTGGAGAAACATCTTTTTTTAATGGCAGTCAGTTACTTTATGCTTTTAATTTCCACAGTTTAATGCTAATCTGATTACATCTAGCAACAATGCACTGGCAAAAAGGCAATGTTTCTCAGACCATTTAAATTAACTCAGTTTCTTTCATAATGTACAGTCTCAAGAATTTTGAACTAAACGTGAACTGCTTATTACTAGTGCTGCAGGCCACAGAAGCCTGACACTTAGTACAGGATTAATTTTTAATATGCGCTTTTTAAATGTTAAACTCCTTAAGGAAGACATACTGTCTAGGTAACTATATCAGAGCTTTTTAATTGAGTTCTGTCAGTGAATGCTGGCAAAAAGTGTAGGAAATCTTTCTGTACAAGATGTCCTTTACTGCAGTGGTGACTTTCAAACAGAAAACACAGATGTATTCTAGATAGAAACACAGTTGTATTCTAATTGATCAAAAGAAATGAAGTGTTTGAGAAACTGTGCTATGGAAAAGGTTGTTTTCATTATTGAATGCGTATAATAAATCAGTTTATTATGAAGGAAATAAAGTGATTTTACTTTGCATTGTTATTTAAATTAGTCTTGGAAACAAGGATGATGGATTTTGGGAAGCGTAGTGGTTAGCACTGCTGTCTCAACGCTGGGGCCCTAGTCTTCTAAACTCATTGTAATTATTCCTACTCATTGTCCATTGTGTCCAAGCTTCACTGATTAAAAATAGACCTTTGTGTCATATTTCTTTGTGTTTACCAGTATGTAAAATTGCCTGGAGTTAATTATGCATATAAGTCAAATTTTTGTATTCTTGAAGAATACAAGGAATATATTAAAATATGTTAAAATATGTTTTTTTATCTTCTTCTCCTTCAATGTTCATAAGTTCTTACAGTACTGCAAGAACCTTCTTTTCAACTGAACTGTGCTGAAATGCTTCTGTCCACCAGGTGGCATGTGGCCGTAGCATGTCTCCTTTTTTCTCTTGTTCTACCGCATGGCTTTGTCATGCAGTGGCTTCTAGAGTATTCAGTTTTTTATTCTCTACTGTTGACTGGTGGATCAGTAGCTCTTATGTACAAATAGACCAGAGCTCATAATGTTTTTTAACATCAATTGCTTTATAAAATGAAAAGCAAATGATTACAAATATTATCTTTGCAATATATATACAAAAATGAAGTACTGTATAACAGCTTACGTATTAATATTTTGAAGACCAAAATACAGTCCACAATGATTAGCATTGCTACTTGTTAACCAGAGAAACCCTACCCTGGAGAAAGCAGGGCTGGAGCCCTGGGTTCAATTCCAGAACTGGGGTGCTATCTGTGTGGAGTTTGTATATTCGCCCCCTGTTCAGCTGGTTTCCTCCGGATACTCTGGTTTCCTTCCACAGTCCAAAGACATACTGGTAGGTTAATCAGCTTCTGAGAAAACTGGTCCTGGAGTGTGTTTGTGTCTGTCTGCCCTGTGACTGACTAGGGTCGCAGTCCACCATGGATGGACTATGAAGATCCTGTACCATAGGGGTTCTCTTATGTGAAGTGAACTGAGAATGCAAGTCTCTACATGGGATGGGACAGTTGTTATTTTAGGTCACTGGTTTAATTTTTGTAGCACTTCTGACATGAATAAAAGTACTATTATGAGTTAACTTTACATGAGCTCATAGACTGTTACATCATTTCATTCTGTTCATTTCAGCTAGCTATAGAACATATAAACAAATATTTAGTTTGAAAGTTTGGTTAAGGTTGAATGAGCTACTTCAGTTACTTCATTACAAAGACAGGAGCATGTACAAATTGTGTATTGCTGAAGATGAAAGAATGGAATCTGAATGGGTGGAGATCTCACTGCTGGGAAAGATCTAAGCCAAACCCACTAAGATCATAATAGTATCAGGTGTTTGCTAAAGTGGACCAAAGGGCAAAGGCTTAAGAATCATGTGATTTACTCTACTTAGTTAATGTTCGCTATGAACAAATTTCAGAATAAACATAAAATAGTTTGCATTTACTCTAAACAACATAACTCAAATAAAAACCCAAATGGCTTTTCTACCTCATACCTCAAATAAAAAGTTGTACCTGAAAGTTCGACTATAAAAATAATGTTTTGATTAATCCTTTTCAATCCCAAGCTTTCTGGAACTCCTTTACAAAAAAGTTAGCTATAAAGAACTAGACCAATCAAATCCTTATTTGCAAAGTTGCTTCCAAGAAAAAAAAGTGTTTTTTCATCACATAACATGGCACCCAGTAATAATGCTTACTCAATGTAACATTTTCTAGGTATCCTGAGTATTTCCATAATTAACTTCGAGTGAGGGAACATTGCAAAATAAAGCCATGTTACTTCACTGAGTCACAAAAACAGGAAATCTGGTGCAATCTGAGCAATTCTTTGTTTCTTGTAACCCTCAAGAATAATGAATTGAAGATCCATTGATGAAGATCTTATTCAGTCCAGATGAGTCAAGAAACTATTGCAAAGTATTACCAAGGAACTATTATTTACTAAGTCTTCTTTCCTTTTTGATTATTTATTATAAGCAGTTAATCAGACCCTAAAGTATTATAATTCTGTTATAGCATAGTATTCTTTATACTATACTAACAGCAGTATTCTCTCTTACAGAGCTGTACAATTAAATTAAAAAGCAGACAATTAGCTTGTAAAGAGTGAAAACAATAATAAAATTCCTACCTGCAAACAATCTTTATATTGTTCAACAATGCTTTTAGGCAGAAAGGACATAAGGGCTCTCTTAGTCTTTATACCACGGAACTGGTACCTCATCCTAGAGGGTAGGAGAGTATATTCTAAAAAGAGTGGATGAGAGGCGCAATCTAAGTTTCTATGTGAAAGATTAATAATATAATTAAAAATGTCACTCTGTTAGACATGTTATTGAGTCCAAGGATGTGCCGGTAATCTTGCCACCAGTCCTGATCACTTTTTCCAACTTGTTTTTGATCTGCAAGGACAAGACGCCTCTTCAGCACTGAATACAAACTTTTAGAACTCTCTGAATACAACTCTTATAAGAAAGTGTCAGCATTGTGCTGTCTACATTAAAACGTTTTCCCTTCGTTAAAAAATACAACTTTTGTTGCATCTTCAAATACCTTGCCTCCATATTGGCTGTCCAAGTCAATTTACAATCACTAATAGTGCTGAGGTACTTATATTCATTTACTCTTTCAGTATCAGTTCCATTCGGAGTTACAGGGATCATAGGAATAGACCATTTCTTTCTCTATTATCTAAATTCTTTCTTAATCAAATTATTTTTCCTTTGTATTTTGTGTTTAAAAACAGCGAATTATCATGACATGAACATCTCTTGTTTTTTACAGTACAATTAGTATAATATCAGTGATTCTAATAAAAGTATTGCTGGCTCACAGTGCTGGGGGTCCTGGTTCAATTTTGCACCAGGGGTGCTACAGTATCTCTATGGAGCTTATACTGTATGTCCACCCAAAGTTTAAATACACTATTTAATATCTCTCTTGGCCTTTCTACCATACATTTCTACCAGTGTTCCTGTTCATGTTTTAATTGATTTATACGGTTTTTCGCTTTCTCTTTATATTATCCAATTTCATCTGTTGGCTATTGCTTTCTGATTTACTTATGACTGATTTCTGATCTCATTTCCTTACTCTGGGGATAAATCTATATACGAATTAAATTATATTTTTGCCATCCTATCCCATTTTACTTCTCTTTAACTCTCTGTCAGGCTTTATCCTGGACTCAGAACAGTCCAGTTCTTAGTCCAGTACTGTTTCAATATACTGTATTTAAAAGTATAAAATGTTATGACCGAAGTTCATGGTTCTCTCACCTTGCTTTCCTTCACTATGTCTTCACTGTTTGAAAAGATTAGCTCAATCCAGGCATTTTCTTAAGCAGGTGTTCTGATAAACTGATACAAATATAATTTGCTTTTCAACATTCAGATTTAAGTAATAATCCAGTTCATTATAGTCTTGCTTTATGAAGACTGTTGACAAGATTTCCTTTTGAATGTTTTTTTAAAGCTATTCATAGGACCTAAAAAGTACCTTGACAAAAAGGTGATTTTATCTCCTCAATTTTATAATAACTGATATATGTGCATTTTCATTTAATCCAATCTGAATACTGTAATCAGTAAATATACCCAGATTGTAAAACCCCTTATTTTCCCTGGCTGTTCGTGACTTTGACCGAGACATTGAGCCTTATCAGTCAACAACATAGCATATGAATCTTGAATAGCTTGTTCAGCAAGTCACATTTTTTCTACTTGGAAAAAACATCCCTCAGAATAACCGTGCTCCAGTCTGCGACCTTCTGAAAAACAAGGAAGTAAACTATCTTTATTCTTATATGCCCAGGTGCCAGCAAAGCCCCAGTGTATGTCGTTTTCTGAAATAAATACCAAGAGCATTATTTTTAACTTGTACATGGGTCAGTCCTTGAACTAGATAAATGAGAGGTACTGTATTAATGAATGTGGTGTGTGAGTATGATGGCATACCCAGGCAATTCCTGCATGTCTTTCTTTGTCTTATCTCATGTCTCTTGTTTTAAAATGCTGCTTTGAGAATTTCTGTTGCTATATCTGTGTGTTTGTGTGCTTCCTAACACCTTGTGTTTTCATGGGATCCATATTTCCTGCAGCATCTTTTAGTGGTGAGGGGAAGTCCGAGACACTTCAATACGGATGGGGTGGGAGGCAGGGCTCAGAGCTTGTGAGTTCTCCCCCTAGCAAGGAATGGCAGTCCTAGACAATCAGATCTAGAATACCCCGGGAAAACCCATGAAAACATGGGAAGAATGCAGACACTCCACTCAGATATACACCTGCAGCCACATTAGCACCCAGTACAATATTAACTATCTGTCCATCCATTTTTTAACCTGCTTCTTCGAATGCAGGGTCACTGGGGAGCTGGAGGCTCTCCCTGCAAGCAACAGGCACAAGGCAGGGTACACCTTGGATAGCAAGCCAGTCCATCGCAGGGCAGACACACAAACACAGACACACACTCACACAAGGGCAATTTTCCCAGAGGCTAATTAACCTAGTTTGTTATCATCTAATAACCTATCAGTATGTTTTTGGACTATAGGGGGAAACCAGAGCACCCAGAGGAAACACACACGAACACAGGGCTCCAGTGCTGTGAGACAGCAATGCTAACCACTGCAACACTAAGCCGCCCCGAATTAACTATGTCAATGTAAATAAAATAGTTTCTGAAAACCACAACTGGGTTATAATACTTCCTGCTGTGTCTGAGAATAAAGGAAACTATGACAAAAAGAATTACCACGTCCTCACTATTTACAGAATATTAGACATTTTGTTTTCTTCCTTACTACAGGGAACATAAATAAAATGCAAACATTTTCAGTCAAATCAAAATAAATTACAAAATTGATTTACGTGGTGGGAATTCCTGCCAATAGCAGCTTGGAATATAACAGGAGGAGATTATACCTCGCTGGAAATACCTATTTAATGCAACTTAAATTATGATATTAAAAAAAAACACAGGCACATAGATGTAAAACTGAGAACTAAAGTAGCACCTCTCATGCCAAATGACATCTGGAGAAATCAGAATCACTGTCTTGTACTATAACTGAACTCATTAAAACGGAATACCAAGTGGAACAATCATGAATAGAGTGTACTTTATCTGTCCTGTAGAAATCATTCTTTTAATCATACATCAATTGGGCAGCAAATACACTAGGGTGGGAACCATGCTACCCATCTCTTTCCTGTAAATGACACTTTGAGCTTGACATGATCTCTGCTTTCTTTATAGAAGATAAATTGTGTCACCATATACACACAGATTACAAACAGATGCAGTGAGAGGCAGGCGGAAAGGACTAATCATACTCACCCCTCCTGACTAAACTAATCCAAAATATATTAGCAGCATTCAAATTTAAAGCAGTACTGTGACACGTGTTTGCCTGACTTGTACTTTACTAGCAGCTTCTGCAACCATGTTTCCGCCCTACGGGATCTACTTTGCCTTTCATTCTCCACCCTAATCATACTTTTGACCTTACTGATAACCACATAAAACGATCACACTCAAGAAGGAAATAAGAGTTTACATGACAGTAAGTGTAGGTGTAAATGTGGTTTTTGTCTGCTTCATGGAGTCTTGGGAGTCTTTGATGATTGGCCTCTAGTTATAACAACCATGTTAACTGTGGTCTTTTTTTTAAATAAGCCAGTTTGGCCTAAAAAGACAAAGCATTATGACATTCTATGGTAAGGGCACCCTGGTTTCCTTACATTGTGCATATTATCACCTCACATCAATAAAACTTTTATGAAACATGTATTTTACCTATGTATGGGTACAATTACAAAGTACTGTACATCAGAGGGTTAACTGCAAGCACATGTTCTGTTCTCTGATTCTCATATCTATCGCTAATACTAGACTTTGGCATTGAAACAATACTGCCATTTCAATGAGGGGACATGCAACACTGTCATGCTGTCTTGAGTTTACAGCTTAAATTATTAATGGAATCCCTAGACATACTGAATACAAACTATTTTAGAACACAACTGCTGTAAGAAAATAAAAAAAATTCTGTATCTTTATCACATCTCTATAAGAAACATTGTATTCACGTTCTCAAAAATATCAATTAAAGACATTCATAAATAGCCTAGTGCTTTTTAATCCTTTTTTCGCATTTCATAATGAGGGAATTCAATCATAATTAAATGGAGCTGCATAACATTAAACAGATATTTGCTTTGAGCTTCACATCCTTGTTTTTCTTTTTAAAAATTGACTTATTTTCATGTCCTAAAGGGATCTAAAACAGCTCCTCTACTGTCTCCCCTGCCTACTAAAATTAATTCATCTGTCTGTGGGTTTAAAATGGATGTAAACGAGTATCTGCAGACTTTTTCAAAATGCAAAAATATGAAAATGGTGCGGACGTTATTTTTATTTAATTTGTTGAAACGTTTTTCATAATTTGAATTTATTTTGTAACATATACCCCTGACGATGTTTTTGTCTTTAAATGTTATATGTACTCTTGTTTGTATTGTAAGTTTTGTTATTATTTATGCATAAATAAAAAAAATAAAAAACAATCAGTGGGATAAAATGAGTCCAGTAACATTTTAATTCTTCAGACTTAGTGGGAAATAAGAACTTAAGGGGAATTCTATATGACAGCTTTTGTATGTTTCATCATCGTCACTAGATCAAGCAAAGATTAACTGGAAGTCCCTTCAACCAGGAAGTGTAATAACAGCGACATAAAAGGGCATGCTAGCCCTATCGCTAGCATTTCAGCAGGAACTGAGAACGGTGCACAACATTTCTACTAATTCTGATATACTATTATCAGTCTTATACTTTATACGGTTCTTTATTTGAAGATTCGCATAAGAACCTACAAGGATAACAGTATATGCAGACTGCCATAAAAGGTATTTTGTTTGCATTGATTGTTCTTTTTTATTCTTTTAAACTATAAAAAAATCAGACTGCTTCAAATTTGATTTACATAAACAATTGTAAATTAAATTGTAAAATGTATTTAGGTTTATTTTGTCACCTTTTTATACACTGGATTTTACGTCTATCATTGTAATACTTTGTATTTAAAAAGAGATCCTGTGCTACTGAATATAAATACATTTATTGTCAACATGCTGTAAACCAACGGGTTTTAGTTTTTAACCTTTTGTGCTTATGCAACTCATGTGCAGTGCACTTACATCTGTAACAGTATGTGTAAATGCGATGCATTTGTTTATAATTAACATTTGGCGTTTTTTTCTGTTGTAGATCTAAAGAACTAAAGTCACCATGGTAGACCACCTGGCATTTTCCGACGAAAACGCAGAGCGCATTGCTGCTGTAGAGAGCTTCTTCGGTGGATCGGGGAAGCCTCTTGCAGAATATGGCCGGGTTCTGGTGGGAGAAGGGAGACTTCTGAAACTCTGTCGCCGCAGCCCCCAGCCTAAGATGTTCTTTCTCTTTAATGATATTTTAGTCTACGGCAGCATCATATTCCATGGACGCTGGTACAAAAATCAACACATAATCCCCCTTGAAGACATTGTTGTGGAGGATTTGGAAGACAGCCTGGATATGAAAAACCAGTGGCTCATCAGGACGCCTCGAAAGTCCTTCTACGTCTCCGCCGCATCCCCCAATGAAAAGCAGGAATGGCTCAAGCACATTCAGGAGTGCAGGGCAAAGCATTTGGTCAAGTCAGGACGGGCGCCTAACAATAATTTTGCCGCGACGTGGATTCCCGACCGAGCGTCTGCCATCTGCATGCGCTGTTCTGACAAGTTTTCGGTCACCCACCGGCGGCATCACTGCCGGCAGTGTGGCTTCGTGGTGTGCAGCTCCTGTTCCAAGGGCAGGTTCGTCATCCGGGACATTTCTCCCAAACCTGTCAGGGTGTGCGTGTTGTGCTTTCAGGCCCTGCAGGCTAAACACAAATGGACTCACACTGTCGATAAAAACTGGTCCGATGAAGATGAGCTCTCCATTCCCATGTATGAGAGCTCCAGCGAAGAGGATAGCGACGAACGATATGAGGATCACCGACCTACCCAGTGGATGCAATCACAGAATCACATTGAGAACAGCTCATGGTCATCATACATTCGCTAAAAACTGTAAAAAATTAACAATTCTTGAAATTCAGATGTTGGTTCAAATAAGTCTAAATCCTAAAAAACAGTCCTTAAAAAGACAGGAAAATCATGCTTAAACCTTAATCTCCACTACAATTTAGAATGATATGATGTTTACACTAGGCTTTGGTAGTCTTTTGTGGACCTTTTTAATATAGGTTTGCCAAAACTTGCAATAAAAGTCTTACAAATTTTATACATGGTGATACCTGTTAATATTCAAAGTAAAATTGCTAACCTGAATTTGTGTGACGACGCTCTGTAACTACACTGTAATTTTTGAATGTAGACATTACCTCAGAACTTTTCTCTTCTTCATTGGTGGTGATGTAGTTATGGAATTTATTTATGCAGTGTTTAGTTAATATATATATATGTATATTTGTGTTACAAAAATGTTTTATTTAATGTATTATTTTGTATATTTATGCCACTGAATACACTGACATATATATGAATTACAGTCCTTAATCATTTTATGAGATTATGCAAATGCACTTTAAAATATTATTAATAAAATAAATACAATAATATTAATACAATTGGCCTTGTCTGTTCATTCAAGATAAATGTCATGTTCTGAAGTAAGAGTTCAACCTGCAATGATAAGGAACATGGACCAAACTAATTACAGAAACCCTTATGAGATATCTCATACTTTGCCGTTTTTCCATTCCCTGAGATAGCTAAAATGCCAGCTGGTTGAGAGCAAATTAATTTAAAAATGGCCGTTTCTTTTTACTGTTATTTGGACAGTCAGGGTATTAAGGGAGGCATGAGTTTATCAGCCTTAGAAATGGGGCATTTAGCATGTTTTCTGTATTAGTTCAGGTGGGTAGCTGCGTCAGCATGCGTAGGCTGCAAAGGAACAAGTAATAGGTTTATTCCATGCTGAAAAAAGAAGAAAGAGAACACAACCTTTCGGCCGTGGAGCCTTCTTCATGTTTTCTGTATGTTTAATACAGAATTTACAACATCCTGAAAAGCAATGCTGCTTAAAGTGGGGTCTTTACAAACACGAATTACCACAAGAAATAAACTCACAGAGTGAAAAAATTGAGTGTGGGACCAGAAAAGTCTGGGACTACGTTGACTTTAGGTTTGCACCATATGGCCAGTGTCTCCCTAAGGGCTGATCTGTTTCTCACCTTGTTCTGTGAGGAGCCTCCCGTCGATCAAAGGTACTCCTTGCGCAGACACTCGTTAATCACCTCACAACTTGGAGAGAGGATTGTGAGACACATCTAACAGGGCCTCAGACTGCGAGGGGGCTCTTGAACAGGTTAGGAATACATCATTCATCGTTACACCTGTCCATGTGCATACAGCCAGTCGATTGTTTATCTCCACATCATTAGCTCTGTTCACACCCAAGACATCACAGTGACCTTTAAACCACTTCTCCCCCCAACAGAATGAGTCCTGAGCCGTGGCTAGATATGGGCTTCACAGCCCCAGTCAGGGGACATTCAGAGGATTGGGGAGAACAGAAACTCAGAGTTCTGGGTTCTAGTCTTGTAAGGTGCTGGCCTGCCGTCGGTCAGGGTCCAGGTTCAGTTTATGTGTCACATATGTACAAGTGCTATGAAATGCTTATTTGCATGTATGATCCAATACAAAGACATTAAATGAACATCACATTTAAACACAGAAAAACAGCAACAACAAGAACAACAGCAAAGTTAAACAACACTCAACTCAAATAAATGTCAGCACAAGCACTGTGCAAAACTGTCATCAGTGTGAGCCACTGGTAGGGGTAGAATTTCATAAACTGACAGCTTGTGGGAAGAAGCTGTCTCTGAATCTGGATTTGTGCTTTAGTATTTATGCTATCTGCTATATTGTTTACCAGAAGGCAGGGGGGAGAGAAGTAAAAAACCAGGATGATTGCAAAAGTCCCTGCCTTCCTGAGACAGTGAGTTGTAAAAAGACCCACAATAGAGGGGAGCTGGACTCCAATAATGGACTGGGTCGACCTGATCAATTCCTGTGACGCCTTTCAGTCAGACATCGAGCTGCTGAAGGAACAGTTTGCACCACAACACTCAGAAAAGAACCTGGACACCAGAAGCCCCACAGAGAGCATCGGAGGGAGGCCAGGGTTAAGTGGATGCCTAAGCGCCACCAAGGAACGGCACAGTTTCATTCCTTCCTTTGTAGCAGTGGAAGGAGGTACATCAGGTCACCAACTGGAGCTGGTTTCAGGAGAAGAACTCTGCTGGACTTTTCCTTTGGAACTTTAGGGTTTTGGTAACTGGGCTCCAAGGGGTTCTTGTATTTTCTATGAGTAAGTGTCTCTGGTTTGGATAGATTGTGTTATGTGTTCTATGTGGCAATTACTGAAATTGTTGTGTTATGGGGATACTTTTGTGTGGTGGGTACTGTAATAAAATGGGATATTAAGTAGGATAGCTGTCTTGGCTGGTCTGTGGGTGCACTGTTGGTTCCGGAAGATAAAAAGAACGTATTTTTTGGGATAAAGGGCCCTAGCACACTTCTAAATGCTAGGTGGCATAGTTTGCAGCAAAGCAAAAGTATTCCTGCATTTAGGAGTCACATCTGTGACATTAACAAGGTCAATTTTTCAGTTAAGGTGCTGAATATATTAATAATAATTCCTTTAATTTATACAGAGCTTTTCTGGACACACAACTCAATGCACTTTACTGGTAATGGGGATTCCCCTCCACCACCAATGTGTAGCTTGTTAATGTCTAGTTAATCACTCACCTGGATGATGCTATGGCAGTCAAAGCACACCAGTATGCTCAACACACATCAGCTCTCAATGGCCAGGAGAAGAGAATAAAGAGGCCAATTCATAGATGGGGTTTATTTGACCATGATTGATAAAGGACGGGGGGAAATTTGTCCAGGATACCAGAGTCAACATCCCTACTCCTCACAAGAAGCACTCTGGAATTTTTAATGACCACAGAGAGTCAGGACCTTGGTTTTACATCTCATCCAAAGGATGGCACCTTTTTACAGTATAGTATCTCCGTCACTATACTGGGGCATTAGGACCTACACAGACAGCATGGTAAGCACTCCCTACCCATTACATTACATATCTTTCAGCAGCAAAGTACTGTAGTTTTCCTGAGAAGTCTCACATCCAGCTACTTACCAGACTCTCACCTGCTTAGCTTCAGTGGGCTGCCAGCTGTGATTTGCAGGGTGATATAGCTTCTGGTTAAATGAAAACAAAAAAAATGAACTGATCTTTTACCATGTGTATTGAATGTATAAATAATAAAGTGACTAATGCATTTTGGCAAACCTTGTAAGAAATAATTCCCAAAAGCTCTTGCTATATATACAGTCATTTCTATTGTACTGTAAATTAATGTGATTTGAATTTTGTCATTAAAACTCAATAGCCAGAGGTTCCTGTGAAATCAAATATAATTTTTAAACTCTATTTATGACACTCATTTAAAGATGAATATAATTATGCTAAAAATACCATATGTACTTTTCAAATATCCTGTATCAAATTATAATAAACATTTGGTTAACATTTGGAAACTTTTTGGTTTTGTAAACAGGTTACACCGCAACCCTGTTTTGGATAAAGCAGTTAGAAAATGGATGCATATAATGCTTCCTCTTAAAGTAAGCTGAATTTACAAAAGGCATCAAACAATCGCCAATATATCATCTAAGCTTCTTTATTTGTTGCATGCAGGTTTCTTAAAGCATTTAACAATCAAGTTTTACATTGAAATATGATCATATCATTGTTTTTAGCATTAAATAAGCAATTCCAATCCCGCAAAATCACAGATGACTTAAACTGTAGTGAAATATGTATCAATCAACACGTAGAGTTTTAAAATTAATTGCTCTAGCATGTAGTGCTAAATTTAAAAATAAAATAAACTAACTGAACCAGACATCAGCTGTGACAGGGGTTAATCAATTGGTATTTAACTTATGTTAAAATCTTTTGTGACTATTCCTCTAGTGTTACACACCAAGTGAACTATCCTGAAAAGCATCATTCCTGAACTTACATTTGTACAAATGTGTCTAAAACCTTTAATCTCCAGCATTTAGCTCTTTGTCATTTAAATGTAAAAGACAAAATGCTTTTATAACTTTTAGTGGTCATCGACATAATTACAGGTCACTCTGTATTCTACCAGGTCAGTTCTAAGAGACAACAGAAGTCATAGACTTCTGTTTGTTCAGGTTAATTATCATCTCTAAACCCATTTCTAAATCACATGAGAGGTCATGCTTATATTTTCACTATGATGGACTATGTTCACCATTATAGATGGACTATGAGTAAATCTACTGTACCTTACACCCTGTGCTTGCTGGTTTAGGATCACATTTCACAGCTATCAGTTAAAGATTAAGTGGTATCTGAAAATGGACTGCACAGCAATGGCACTGCAAAGTACAAGCAAATAAGATTATGAATCACTGCAGCATGGGTGAAATATGTAAATGCAGAGAGGGGTTATAACGAGAAAATATTGTTCTATGTGGATAAAATTGTGGTGACTTCTCCAGATTAACAAATTTGTCTTCCACATTGATGTACTCAATGAATGCTGGTCACATACTGTACACTGCTGTGAAATTCTGTCTCTTGATTAGTATCCATGCTTAAGAGTTGTGTTTCACCTTTTTGTCATAGATTAAACCAACTCAACTGGTCACGAAAAACAAAAAACAAAATGTGGCAGCATTGTTTGTGATCTGATAGGTTGGAACTTTCCAATAAGTGCTGATATTTTGTTTTGTTGATTAAGAAAACAATTTACTTTTACAATTAAAAAAACATTGAAAGAATAATAACCTCACAATAATTTTTCATAAAACTTGAAAACCAGAAATGTAAGAAAGCCTATAAATGAGAGAAGGCCATTTAGCCCATTTGGCCTGTTTGGTAACAAATAAGAATAATAATATAGAAGTTTGGGAGGCATGACCATAAGCAAGTCAGCTTTTCTAAATCATTTCCAATGTCATTACTCTAGAGGCATATATACAGTATGTGTATCATAAGCAAACAACTCATTTCAACTCATGCATCCCTCCTTGAGTCAATGATGTCATTATCAATACGGACAAAACCATCTCGGATTGGACTCTATGTTCACTTTTCACTCTTCATGGATGATGCTTTGCAGTGCCATGGATGTCCGACAGTAACTTTCTTGTCCCGTGGCCTGGGGGCTGGCCCTCAAACACCTGGGTTATGCCTGTAACCCAAATCAATTTCTTGAGTGTCTTTGTTCCTCGTGAACTTTAAGGAAGGACAGAAATGAGAAAGTCCCAGGAATACCTATATCCCAGAGCCCTTTGTTTTTTTTCTGTAAATAAATGCATGCCCACATAATTCAGCAGGTAGGGGATTTAGGGGATTTCTCTAAAAATCAGGATATTCTCAAGGATGTGGTTTTTGAAATAATGATCTTCCTTCTCTATTCTTTGTTACTAAAATACTCTAGCAGACCTCTCTCTGATACTGTACATT